ACCGTCTCCTGCCACAATGTGTGCACTCGCTTGTTACGACGTGCTCACAGGGTAATTGGAGGTGAAATGGCCATTTAAAGAAGTCACAGATAGGGTGAAGAGCTTTTGTGTTAAAAGATTTTAGATAAACTGATATCTGACCGCCAAATTCATCAGTGGTTTTAGATGACATTGACTGGGAGACGGTCGTCTGCCTCGCGATGACGTCATGGCAAAATTAATATGCTTTCCGCGCGTGCTCTGAAAATGGCTGAATAGTTAAATCAATACCTTTAAAAGATGGAAAACAAATTGCGTGAAAATATTTAAATAAACAATAAAATACATAATTTTTTTAATTATGTCCCTTCTTTACATTTTCTTTAAATATAATCGAAGGAAAATAGGGGATGCGTATGCCTGTACTAATTTTAATTCATTTAATAATTACCTTTCAGCTCTAAATAATATTATTATTTAAAATTATTGAGTACATTATGAATTACATCTAAAAATAAATTGGGTTGAAATGCACTACTTCTGTACCAGGTACACGATACCAATGTCTTAGAATTAAAGTTTAATTTTAAAGTTAAAGTATTTTGTTATCTCCTAAAAGTCTTTAAATGAGTGTTTTACTACTAAGTAAGCAGTAGATTTGACTTACAATTAAATCTGCATATGATAAACGTCAGCTTTTTAATTCATATCAATCAGACAAATGAACACAAAGATGTAATGAGAACTATTTTGTTGCAAAAATCGTCAAAAACACGTATTCTGATTTTGCAAAAACAAGTAGTTTGGTAGTTGGAAGGATTGAAGAGAAGGTCCAAATCAATGTAGACAAACAATTGCTGTTAAAATGAAATAAATACAATTTTATACAAAAGTAACTAAATTATATTAAAAAAGATAAATTTATACAAATGTAACAATAATATGTGAAATCAATATACTTTTACATAATTGTTATGACTTTAGAATAAGATCTTGAAATTAATTAGAATGAAATTAAATTGTTCACATGAAGTAAATGTGTAAACAAAAGTTTTCATAATCTTGATTTTTTTTTATAAAATTGCATATGTCAATATATATAAAGTCTTATATACTAGTATACATTTTATTGCACTCACACATAGTATGCTGCTTTGCTAAAACTATCATCTAATATTTGCTCAACTTTTATTATTATTATTGCCAATAGTTGTGCGTGATAAAGAAAATAACAAGTTAACAATATTATGTTTCATTTCGATTTGTAGCAGGAGAAAGCATTGGCTCCTTTATGATAATAGAAAATAAAGAAAGAGAGATCTTTTGTTTCGCTGTCTGTTTAGTACAAAAAAAGCGATGAAACAGAAGCATAAAATGTACTTTTTAAACCCATTCATTCCGGAATGTTTGCAAAGAAAACTTAACAAATAAAATCGTTAACATTTGTGCTTGTAATAATTATGAAAATAGCGCTTTTAAAAAGGCAAAAACGGAACAATTCTTTTACAACCAATCTTATTGTAACAAGGCGTAGAGAATATGTCGTAAAATACCGTGAAGAAATGGTCGTGAGAAAATTTGCTCTCATGTGCAATTAAACCAAAATCAATCTTTATTAGTATCAAAAGATATGCTACATCTATTGAAAAAGTTTGCTATTTTTTGTAGATAAGTAAATTGTATATAAAATTAAGGTATAGTTTCCATGTATAAGGTTACACCCGTAATATGAACTCTGTCATTTACAGACGATTTTTTGTCAGATAATCATATGATTGAATACTTCATGTGCTATTAAAGAGATTTTAAATTTTCCAATTAATCCTGTGAAATTTTAAAATTACTTCCAATCAAAGACATTGATAGATAGTTTATTTCAATCAAAGCGCAAGTCGCTATTGTTACATTGTCCATTAAATGTATGAATTACATACATTACATAACATTACTGTATTTATGAACACTTTTAAAGGAATAAATCCTCTCTTTTTATAAGAAAATATTAACAAAAAATGCAATGCGTTTTTAAGAAATTAAAATTGTGCCTACATAATGACGGTTAAAGGAAGTCGTAATAATGTTTCATAAAAAATATATATTGTACAATCGTGAATTATTAAAGGATTTTTTTATTCCAACGTTTTCAAATACATTTCCAACCAGGCTCATAAATGAATTAATAGACTGTCAAAAGGTAAGCCGATGATCAATGTGCGTGTGTTAAACAGGTGAACACTCAATTTATAATATGTTTCAAAACCAAGTTGATACTGAATTCATCGGCGGGCCACCGTTTGTACCCATGTTAGATGATGTATTACGTGATGCTCAGGTTTTGCTATTACCGAGTCAATTTGAGAAGCTCAATAGAATACTAAACGTTACTATATTAATTACGTGAATATCGTGCAAGTACTGACGCTATTAAAATGGATACCATTTTTTAATATATTTTTGATACATGAAATTTAATTGCAAGTCATTCAAGATGTTAAAATGCCCGTACGTAATACGTGGATTTTTGATATTGAAAAGAATATATACCAAAAATAGTAATAGATTTTGCAAATATAAATAAAAAACTCATTAAAATATTATATTTTATTAATGAAAGATATCAGCCTTCGGGGTCTCCATTATTTTTTATCTTTTCCGGTCATCCGGAAATTTTATGCACACATATTTACATTATGTATAGAATTTAAATATTGCTTTAGCAGTGCTGAGTCGCATTTGACAAATAATCATCAAAAATGTTTTAACTCTCAGACTTTAATTTTATAATTTGTAATGTGCATTACACGATTCTTTAAACTTCTAGTATATTAGTATAAGAATGTGTGAATACGTTTGTAACATGAGTGAGTTGATCGTGGCGGCACGGCGGAGTGGCTATCGCATCAGACTAGTAATCTAAGGATTGCTGGCCGCATGGGTTCGGACCCAGTCAGGGGCAAGTCGTTGTTTCCTTGAGCAATAAACTTTTACATTCATTGCTTAGTACTTGTTGGTTCCAGGAAGGGATTCGAGAGTGTTTCAATAAGGTTAAAGGGTCGAGCACGGTCGAACTGAAATAAATTTGTATAAACTAACATGAACAGTGCAATTACCTTTAAAAAAATAATTGCACCAAAGTGATACTGCCAGTGACTTAACAAACTAAATATCTATGCAATATTGCAACAAAAATTTAATGTAATACATCACTTATTTCAAAGAATTTGGAACTATGGGAGTACTCATTGCTTTGTTAGCAAAGTCAGACGTAATTAGCATAAAAGTTTCATCCGTGAAATAAACATTAGAAAACTTGAAAAACATACGTAATATATACCGCACAGAGCAGTTATAATGTTAAATATAAGAGTCGATACCAGTGTCACGATCATATATGAAAAATGCATCAACCATCAGGTGTTACCAAAGAATAAGCACTGATGCAAATTAATTACACATGTTACGAGGGTTATCAAACAATTACGTCAATGGAAACATGCCGTGGTAAGCTGTAAAAAAGACAGAAATCGACCAAACTCTTGATGTGTTGTTTAATCAGATGTTTCTAACATGATACAATACATTGGCTAGCTAAACACTAATGAGAGGGTTTTGTCCAATAAAAAATCATATATCAAGATCACAGACGTGCTTTCAGCCGCATGTAACACGTTGATAAAAACAAGAAACGAGATGCAATGGTTGTTTATTGCCTTACAGAACGAACGGATGTTGTTAGAAGCAGTCCTTAATATTCATTTTCATTCATGTCCAACTTCTTATCACTTAGACTATATCCTATTACAAATACCAAAAGATTTGTGGATTGGCATAAAATTAATTCATTTTTAATTATCAAGATAAAATATTTCTTATAAGTGTAAAATATCCTTCTGGCGTAGTGGTTTCGTGCAAAAAAAGTTATTTGCTTTTAATTTAGATTATGTTACATATCAAAGACACAGAGCATAACACTTTTAATGATTTTAATACAAAATTATAAACTGAGAATGACCAGTTAATGACATAGTTAATTTAATCTTACATTTGATGTTTTAAATCAGTCATTTGGACTTTGATAATAACTGTGTCATTATTTCTTTCGGATAATTACAGAGCCTTAAGAAAAGTTATTTTCTTGTTTGTTCCCGCAACTGCAACTGCATTATGTTTTTAAGGAAAATAAACATTTCAGGCTGTGCTTAATAATTAACTGGTCAAAACAAATAAAAAGGCACAGTCTAACATTGTTATAGACATGATTTTTCTTGCGTCAATTTGAATACATTTGCAAGTAAACTCAATTATCTCATATTGAACCACGTGTCCACATTTAGTTTTACCAAGCACAAATCTTTCTCTAGAAATTGAATATTTTGGGGGCATTTTTTGTTTAATAGTAACACATCACACTAACCCTATCTCTTGAATGACAGAGACCATATCTATATCATAGCAATCGATTCTTACTACCTCAAGAATTTCAATCATTAAGATAAAATTTAATTCTTATATTTCAATATTGCAATAACTGCTTACGTATATACTCTACTTTTTTTGAAAATTGAACAATTACTTGCTTTCTTATGTACTTGATGTTAATTGTACAGCTCTGTCAAAACTGTCTTTCTGTCTTTCTTCTAAGACCTTGAAAAGTGTCCGCTGTCCCAAATAAAGTCTTTATCACGCTGACTGGCTTTCTTCATATTATTGACTTCATAATTTTCCGCAAATTACTGTTATTCTACCGTCATCATAGTATACTTCGTGAATACACCCATCAGAGCGCGAGAAACCTGATACTCCCGACTGCCCATTTGCGGGTGAATCTTTCCTTCGTTATGATTGGCTGTTTAACGGGTAACTGACTGAGTAACGAGCAAATATTGAAGGGCCATTAACGAACGCAAATAAAGGTAAAGAAGTAAATAAAAGAAAAAGGTGGTGATAATTGAAAGGTAGTGAATGGTGGGAGGCGTCTGTTTATATCCTGTGTGTAAATAACAGTTTAATATGCGATTCTCAAGCATATATTTTATCATTTCGTCCTGATGCGTTATCAAAGAAGTGTAGTTGTCATAATTTCTTGTTAAGTTAAGTGGCAAGAAATTTAAACTTTGTTTCATTTTAAGCAATTTATTGCAAAGTTCAAATGCGTTGACGCTTAGAAGTTACAAACATTGATGATATATAAGTTGTAAATTGTTGTGTGATTTGTGTGTTACAATTTCTAGAAGACTTTGAAGCATCATGTCATCTTCATCTGATGAGGAAAGAGGACAAAACGAGAACTCATCAGAAGCAAGTGGTGGAGACGGAGTTTTCATGAGGTCCGCTTCAGATAGATACCCCCGAACACCAAAATGTGCCCGCTGCCGAAATCATGGAGTTGTATCAGCTTTGAAAGGACATAAACGCTACTGCCGTTGGCGAGACTGTATGTGTGCCAAATGCACATTAATTGCAGAGAGACAACGGGTGATGGCAGCACAAGTTGCGTTAAGGAGACAGCAAGCACAGGAAGAGAATGAAGCAAGGGACATGGGCGTTCTGTATGGACCCTCCGGACTTCTACAGATTAATCCAGAGTGTTCAGCTTTGTTCCCAGATGCATCAAAGGCCTTGGATGCTACAAAACCCAGAAATGACGCCGATGTAACAACCGAGAAACCTACAGAAGATATGCCAGGTATGTTATGTCTCATTCTAAACAACAAAACAACGAAGTTACTGGTTTATTTTCCTTTTTTGTTTTACTTTTCTTTTTAATAAAAACGTATGTTCTACGACTTTTTTCATTCTGTGCAAGGTATTGCCAGATGGCCAAATTAAATTTACAGTATATGATATAACTGATTAAAAATTCAATTCTTTAGAAGGTTTTAGACATTGTATTCATCTTTGAATTTTATAATAATGACCATGTGTTCGTTTACAAAAAGGTGCTTTTGGTTTTTAATATCTAATACAACTTAACGGTTTAGATACATGTAAAACTAACGAGCCTGTTTAACATAAGATGAATATATTCATCGCATCTAATTAGCATTGTAAGCATTGATGCCACTATTTTTTATATTTATATATTTCGTTTTGCTTTATGAATGTTCATAAATTTAACACTAGGTTTGATTTTTCTGATTTTTTTGTGTCTGTGTGTTATGAAAGAAGTAAAATAAATATTTTAAAGTGCAGTGAAAATAGTTTAAGTATTTAAAAACAATTGTAAAAACGTATGTGATGTTTTAAATGTTGTGTATTTGACCTTTGTTCTCTTCTTTCTTTTTTTAATGCTTATTTATCTTTTAAATCGTTTTAGGATAATTTCTTCTACTGTTTTAACAGCATTTAGAAAGTTAAATAACTGAGATATTTACATTGTGTTGTAAGCTAATTCTAAACTTTTATTTATTTAATATAGATTTAATTTTGTGTTTTTATTTTGGTCCGCATATTTCCTGACCGTGGTAATAAATTTGGTAATGTGTAAATTTTAGAAATAAAATAATAAATTATCACATTCTATCAGCGTTAAAACGTATTGATAGTAAACAACCTGATAGGACAATTATAAGCTTTATAGCTTTCTGTCCAATCCCAAAATTTACTTTGTAAATATTGTTCACTTGTAATAAAAACGTTTAAACCAACAACCTGGTTATGCTACAAAATATCAAAATAATTTACATAAAAAAGTCAAATGATCATTTTTTTTCTTAATCGACCCAGCAAAGATGTGGGTTGTATTTCTTTCAAAGTATATCAGATACATTCATACAGCGACAAAAAAACATTTAAGCTGTAAGATGAGACGGGTGGAAAATAGTAAAATGGTTGAGGATGACTTACTGTGATTAAAAGAGCTAAGTGTGTTAAAAGATGGGGTTGATAACGTTGAAAAGTTAATTGATACAAATGTCAAACTAAATACTACTGGCGACACATAACGACAAAACATAACGGTCCATGATTACACGAAAGAAAAAAAAAGAAAATAAGTTTGGGTTTTCATCTGTGCTGTTTTAAAAATTATATACGTTTATCTCTAAAATAATATTCATATTGCAAATACTTTTTGGGGATGTTTTGGGATTTTTTGTTTTTACTTTCATAGCAACCTTTTGCAGATAAGACTATAGGTTTCTAATAGTATTGTCAAATAAGCCTTGATATATTATCAGATTGTATAAATGTTCATAAATCATGCCTCGATTTATCATCTTAGATATAATTGTATTAAATATTGAATCTTATTTATCAACATATCAAAAATTTACAGAAAATATTGTTACTAGGGGAACAAATTTAATTGAAAATAGAAAGAAAAAAATAATTATCCTTGAACCTTTCAGCAACACTTTCTTTCCAAAGCCCTTGACAAATTTACTACACACATGAAAAAATATCATTGTTATGAATTATCACTTTGATAAAAATCATAATACATTTCTTATTCTTAATGTATTTCGTTCAATAAACAGTAATATTTTGTTGCAAGGTGAAAAATAACAGATGACTGTGATGTTTTATATATTATGTTATAAATTAAAAAAAAACTTCTTAATTAAAACATTAAAATGTTGTAAATTATTTCATGTTACAAAATTTATAAATTATTAATTGATTCATTTGATGCTAATTTAAACAGATGCCATTAGATAGTCATTAATTTACGTGAGAAACAATTATATGATATGATATATAAAGAGGTATTTCTTTTTCCTGAAATAAGGAACCGCTTATACACCAATCTTTATCACCTTTTGTTGGCTGATTCTTTCATTAATATCTGTTATATCTGAGTTATAATTTTGTTTCTGCTGACAGTTGACGTTGGTTTATGATTTGTAAGTTTTTTTATCTAATAAGTTACCTCAAAACGAATTAACTTAGTTTTGTTGACATGACTTACATTGTCTAATTTCAGCTGCCAAGCGACAAAAACTTGAAAACCGAAGAGAGGAAAGCGGCAGGCTGTCGGCGTCTTCCGAAGATTCTAGATCGGTTTCGCCGTCGTATTCAGACGACAAACGCTGCCATGACAATGCACGTGCGTCTCCTATTCAACATTCACCGTCTGCGTATGATGACATTGCAACATTTTATGAACGGAATGGTAGACTTTCTGAAAATTGGGTTCTAAATTTAGCACAAAATTCTTCAAAGAAGCAACAGCACCCGATAGACATGTTATGCCGAATTTTCCCACACAAGAAAAGAAATGTATTAGAACTAATTTTGCAAGGATGTGGTGGTGACACAGTGCAAGCTATAGAACAAATTCTGACCACCCAGAGGGAAGAAGAAAAGAATACAACAGGGCTGTTATACCCGTCCAACCCTGCTTATCCGTCTTTATCATCGCCGTTACAGAATTCTGTTTTCAAATCTGCATTTTCTCCAATTTCAACACTTAGTGCAGCAAACACTCTAAATTCTATGCGATATGCATGGGGAGGGGCAGCTGGACGTGGTCTTGCAATGACAATGCCTTATTCACATTTAATTCCGGGACTTTCAATGGCACCTTCATTCGGTTATGGTGCAATGGGACCATCTGGAGATAAACTTTCTCCCTACAGCATGTACCCGTTTTGGACAGCCAAGCCCTTTGCTACCAAAGACGTGGAAAAAACATCTGGTTGTGTAAGTGACTAAAATGAAAACGATTTAAAGTATAAACATAAAATAACAGAGAAAGTAGTGTTCATTTAAAAGAAAATAGTTTATAAACAATTGTAATGCAATTTAAAAAGAAAACTGTCTTTGTACCGTCGTAAATTGCTTTATGAACAGTAATACCTTTGCCATTTAACAATAAAAAACATTGGTGACTGTATAGATAGAGTAATGACCAGTTATTTTTATTTAGCAATAATTTTGAGGCTTTTAATCTTATTTTATTGTTTAATTATGTATAAATAACATTTTTAAACACTGACATTTGAGAAAGAACGATGATTTTGGTCATATGCGAGAATATTTGTGTATAAATAAGAAGTTATGAATGGTGCCAGATATGATGTTTTAAATTGGTTAAAGAATATATATATATATATGTGTGTGTGTATTGAATGTGTGACTATTTAATTATTTAATTTGTTTGTTGAATTATTTTATTTAAGTATTACTGTATGTAACACAGCATTTACTATTTTCACGAATAAAAAACAGTAATTTGTCTAAAGTTGATATTGAAGTGTTCTCATTTCAATCTTTATGCTCAACCTGTTAGAGAGGAGCACAATGCCTATTAACCCTCAATATTTTAAATGGACTTGTCCCAATTCCACTTTGGGACTCTCCATTATCAATTTTAGGGAGATCAATTTGAATATTTATAGTTTGTCAGCCAACAGTATAGAGCCTGGTCAGACTGCACGGACGTGCAGGCTGGCCTGGCTCTATACTGGTGGCAAAGGCTTAACTCTTTCGGTTCCAGCACTTAAAGGGTTAATCAGTTGACTCTTGTCCATTGAATTGATTATAAAAGGGTTAATTCCGTTAAAATTCTTCCGTTGAGTCAGTTAATTGTCTTAGCTATTACTTTTATTGTAAAATATCAAGAAGTGTGTGTAAAATCTATATCGATAACTTAAGTAAATAAATCACAAATATTTCAAACGGATTGTATGATTGTAACATTTGCAGATTAATTAAAATACTGTATAGAAATAATTTCATATAGAATCTATATGTATAGAATATTAATTTTTTTTCAGCAAAATAATATGATTTTTTCGAAACAAATGCGATAGGAAAAATGAATTTGATATGAAATCAATTTAACGAGTTGAATGTTCTATAAAACAACTGAATCAAAGTACAAACAGAAATGGCGGCTATGTCACCACAATCATGACTTGCATAGATAATGCAAACAAATAACTTTAGTCTTAATCCATGGGTAAAATCAATCAATTTGAAATATAAAAAATAGTTATAAAAACTCAATTTAAATATTAAATTATTGTTGTTGCAGTAGTTGGTAATTATTTCTGTTCATCAGCAGTTTTGATAAAACAGAATAAATGAGCCGTGTCATGACAAAACCAACATAATGGGTTTGCGACCAGCATGGATCCAGACCAGCCTGCGCATCCTCGCAGTCTGATCAGGATCCATGCTATTCGCTTACAAACTCTATAACCAGTATAGAAACCGATAGCGAACAGCATGGATCCTGATCAGACTGCGCGGATGCGCAGGCTGGTCTGGATCCATGCTGGTCGCAAACCCATTATGTTGGTTTTGTCGTGACGCGGCTCAAATGATACAGATCCTACAGTTATTAGCTGTTTAAATTTACTACCACGCTAAATACATCAATGGACATGTCCATCTTTCAATATGTACTAAATCCTTCAACTTTTTAGGAAAAACTTTCAAAATAAGTACTGACAAAATAGCGAACAATGAAGATAATGATCAGAAGCACGGACGGGTTGATGATCTGTGTGTGCACTATCTGCATTGTTACGTCACTGTTGTCGTCAGTTGGCACAGCGTGAATATAATTAAATGTTTCTTTTTGTTTTATAATTATAGTTGCTTAAATAGAATTATTCTAATGAAAATGACTTCAAAGCTTACGATACTATTTGTTTCAATAACATAAACCGTGTATATAATAGATTTAGTACATAAATGAATAAATCAAAAATGAAAGAGGCCACGCCTTAATATTTTAAATTGCTTAATTCAATAGCTAGGTTTAAAGGATAGTTTGCCATTGAGGATTTAATGATCGACACTGTGACTGACGGATCATCCTCATCATCATCATCATCATCATCATTATTATTATTATAATTATTATTATTATTATTATTATTATTATTATTATTATTATTATTATTATTATTAAACTTATGAATGCGTCCGTTTTAAATCTACAGTCGGTGCGCGGTAATGTTGGTGTTACTCTTAAAGGACTTCCATCCATAAATAAGTCATTTTCACTTTAGTAACAACAGGCAGCTTGAAAGTTTCAAGGTTACTATTCAGTGTGATACATTGACAATATCATCAAATGGGATAGGTTCTTGATGACGTCATCATAAACCCCGGTCCATGGACACTGACTTGATATAATTAATGCAGACATTAGGTCAAAAGCTTCAATTTTTATTAAAGTGCACAATTATATATTATATATCGTATATATTAAGTAAATATCATTTTGAGCATATAAAACAGCCATAAAATAATTATGAATTGCCTATGATTAAAGTTCGTGCTTACAAAAAGAGGTATTTAAAGTAATGTTAATGATTATACATGTGTAGAGATAGATATATGTAAATGTTACGATACAAAAATAATATTCTTTCAAGTCTTTACATATTACCTCTAACTACCTAATGCGTACATTGAACCACCGTGGTAATCAAAGACTGAAGAAAAAATATTATATATACAATCTTTAGTTATTAAATCATTTGTCGGACACAACTTAGATAAGATAAGAATTATGAAAATTTATCATTGAATAAGCCATACTTCCGATTCCGTACCGCCTCATATCTATATAGAGTTTTAAACCCATTAAGTAAATTAGCTATTTAATAGGTTAAAATAAACTCTAAAATGCCCTGTCAAATGACATGACATAATTTTGAACAACCGTAAAAAAAATACCTGAATGTTACGAGTAACTTAATTTGAGAAATCGTTTATTTTTTATTTTTTTTTTTTTTTTTTTTTTTTTTGTGAAAAGTAAGTATGTGAAAATTACGTTATACATTAATGTCACACAGCAATGAAATGTAAAAATTAACTAAGAGAATCAATTAAAACTAATTACTAAACGCAAAGCTTTTGGTCTTCAGTCATATAATCCGAAAAATCGGTAAGTTTTGTACATACAAAAATGTTACAGTTACATAATAATAATAATAATAATAATAATAATAATAATAATAATAATAATAATAATTACACTTGTAATGAACATTATATGTTCAAATTTTCATAGAAATATTGACAAAATATTCAAGCGTCCGGAACTACTCCTTTGGTTCCTAAATTAGTACTTTGTAGTTCATAAATGAATTTGACTATAGAGACGACTTATCAGTGCTCTTTAATTTTGCATATTTTCCATGTTTAAAAACGAACGTGCAAAATGCACGTCTTAACACGAAACTATGTAGGAGTGGACAGCGCAGCTTTTAGTTAAGTTCCTCCTTCCCTTATATTAGATTCATAAAGATATTTCATAGATTTTGTCTCCGTTTTTATACAATATTATTTTTTTGACAATGTGAAAGATCTACCGGCTCATTAATAGATTGAAAACGATATACCATGTTATTTAACACTATTAATTACCGTTCTATTTAGAACGGGATTGGTACAGCATTTAGCATAGAATGGGCGTAACAAATGCCTAGTCGAATCAAGCGTCTGGGAATAATAATAGATGATCTGTGCAAGAATACCTTTTTCAAACACAAAGATTGGATTGAAATATAAATCAAATCGTCCAGTATCCCATGTCATAAACTATACATTACTCTTTAAACACTATAAATAATTTCGAACACGAAATCAAAACCTACGACTAACCCGAGTTGACGTGTTAAAGAAAACCTATTAATATAAACTCCTTTTTGAGTTTCTCCATATTATATTTCCTTTTCTATTTTCATAGACCTGCACAGACACACACGTTTCAGACAGGTGGATACATGTATCTATCTAGTGAAAGAAAATTCATTTAAAAAGGAAACGAGATACAATGCAATTAATTATGACTTAATTTGCATTGCTTCCTCATTATAATATAACTTTTTTTTGTTCTGTCTCAGCATTTCAGAATCGTGAAATCCCCCTTTTTTACAACATTTTCCTTCACACGCCCAATTCTATCCCTGTGCATCATCTTATTTCATAAGAATAATGATTTTTTCAAAATAAATTTTAAAAGAAACACGCGACTACCCTCTATGAGGACAAAAACGGATGGAAAGTAGAGCGATTCAGGATGTCGTCTGTTTCTTACATGAATTTGGCGCCTAAGAAAAAGTTTCGAAGTTTAAAAAAAAATATATATATATATACATAAAAGATCATATTCATTTAAAGCAATAGTGTCTCTTTATATACATTTACAATAAATGATCAGTAGTAATGTGTGGAATAAATCAAAATTTGATTAAACGGAATCACTTATGTAATAACAAAGACAGTAAAGATTCGAAATGATATCTGGACCTTTATTTACCAGCAATCGACGACCCAGAAAAATATAATCAATCTGAGGATGAAAGGTGCGGAAGGAGGCCTAAATGCGCTCTACTAAAACAACACCTCCCCAACTAGGATCCACAAAAGCAAGATGTGTCTCTTACATTAGCTAACTTCCATTGACAAGGGACACGTCAACTTCTGTGTAAGGGTCGTCGGAATGTATTCGCTAACTTTAACTTTGTCTGTTTTTTAGCAAAAACTATATAGCTTATATTTCATTATGTATCTAAATTAACAATTAGATATAATTTATTGTAATAAATTTAAAAAAAAACGAGGCTTGACGTCAAACAAGTCAAACAATTATTCTAGTCGATGACGTCATTGAGTGAATGTACCAATAAAAAGAGAGACACCCTATACCTTAAACATTTAAATTTGACATAACGAATAAATGCTGCGTCATGAATGTCAACATGACCACCCTTTTATGGTTTATTTTTCTTATTGTTGTTGGTGTTATTGTTGCTTAATATATAATTCAATCTTAATGAAATTCATGATTAATTTAATACCTTTTTTGAAACAGTGAATACAGCATACAAGAATAGTCAGTTGATAAAACGAAACTTGCTTTTCTTATTAATGTAAAATCTTAACAATGAAATGCATACACGCATTGAAATATTTGAAATGCGAATAAAAGGCGTCTCCGCTACTTATTTAACGCTATCCTATTTTGTTATTATACAAATACGTTGAACTGGCGTGTGAATTCAGAGAGGGCAAGTCGTAAATCTCGTGCACTCTGTGCCACGGTGCACATTTTGATAATTAAAGTTACAATTATCCCGTACAAAAATTATCATTATAACAAATCTAATTGTCAAGTCTTTGTCTCATCAAATATCCTATCTACAGATCTTTTTTTTTTCAAACCAGCGAATTTTTTTAATAATATTTTTGTGTGTGATTTCTGAATACGAATGATTTAATTG